TCTTCTGAAATTGATAATCGCCGACCGATCAGAACGAACTCTAGGAAACGTAAGTTTCAAACGGAATTGGTAGCCCTACTTTTCAAGCAGCTTCAACAACGCTTTCAAAGGTTTCTCAAAAACGGCTCTAAATTTTCTGTTTAAACTTTAAGCTCGGATAGCATAAAGGACGCTTAAATCCCATTTTCGTTGAAATCGCTGATATTTCGAAAATTGCAATACTTAAAATTTTTCGGCACCTTCCTACAACAATAATAATGAATGTAGAGATATTTTCCTTTATGAAGTCTATTTTTTAACATCTTGAATTAAGGTAATGGACACGTTTTCGATAATGAGTAGTGTTCGTGTAATTTTGGGTGAAATATAGGCAATGTTTAATAGTTTTAAACAATTTTTTTCAAGAATGGTAAAAATTTAGTGCTAGTTTAATTGTCATTAAACTGAATTTTCGAAACGTAAACATTTCAAAACTACAAAATCTGCTAAATGCGCTAACCAAAATCTGCTCAAAAAATCTTTTGAAAATACAATTTCCAACTTTTTAAAGAACCGAGTTTCATCTAATTTCTGGTTGGAATTAAGGCAAGTTACAAAAATATCGTTTTCTAACTCCGGCTCCAATTTTTTTCTTCAATATTTTTCCCGCATAAAACGAGAGTCGCTTAATACATTGGCGGATATTTCGTTTTCGTTGATCTCTGTGAAATTTCTAAAATGGTGTATTGGAAATGTTGGAATGAGACAATAAAAATGTTAAGCATCTGCCCAAGTTGATACGCCAGAGCGGCTGGCTAATGGTGGAGGAAAGGCGCACAGCCAGTTAACTCAAAAAACCTAAGTTCACGTTTCAGTGCGGAAAAACATTTTTGCCGTTTTAAAACACTTTGGCAGTTTTATCTAGTAGTATAATATTGCCGAGTAGTTACAAATAATGCGAGTATGTGCATTGCGAGTAGATTAATTTCTTCTGTACAATTACGTATAATATAATTACTTTCTTTAGGGAGAACTTTCAATAACGACTCTGGTATATTTTCAAAAACCTATCAAAATGGCTCCAAATGTTCTCCTTAAATTTCTTTCAGAATATAATGAAATACATACAATATTTCCGATTTTACTGTTAACTAAAAATCCGAAATCGCGAAAGTTTAAAATTTATTCGGCGACTTCCTATAATCACAATATTGTAATAGATTTTTTCTTCAAATTAAATTCGTTCTCCTCAATAAATGCTTTAGTTAATGTAATGATGACTGTTTTGAAAGTACCTTGAAAGTTCTTTGCGAGCAATTTTGAGTGAAATATGGACAATAATAAAGAATACCGAAAACACTATTCACTCAGAAACGATTCCGAACTTTTTCTTCTATTTTTTATTAAGAATAATACTAAATGCACCGTAAAAGGTATAAGAACGTTATATTACGATACAGACAGAATGTTATTTTGCAGTTTTCTTTTGCTAATTCAAAAGTTGCACAAAATATAATTCGTTTGTATCTCTCACGTCAATATTTACATTACTCGGCGATTTACACAAGCATTGCATTTTGGGGGATTTGCACAAGTGAAAATGTCGCCTTACAAAGTTTCTCAAAAATTTTCTGATTTTCTGTGAACAACACTAGCGCCTCCTCTATGCGTAGAATGTTTTCCAAACTGAATACTTCCAGGCTGATCTGGCCGCATTCGAAGCCCTGCTCTTTCCAATAACATTCATTAATTTTTGGGAGTATTTTACATGAAACCCCTGAGACATTTTCAAAAATGGTTCCAAATTTTTCTTCTTTAAATTGCGTATAAGAATAAAGTGAAATTCTCTTATAAAGATGGTGTAGATCCGTATTCAATGTTAACTCTCAATTTTCGAAAATTGCAGAAGTTCGAAATTTCTTCAGCGTCTTCCTACAACTACAGGTACCACAACTGCTCATACTTTCTCGTATTATCGGGGACTGTTATGTAATAGTATTATAGTACTGCAATTTCTGTCATTACATGAAACAATTCAAACCAATTCAAACGAAGCGCCTTCGGTGGATATCTATTATTAATTCGCGAGTCAGGAACAGTAGCCCATTCTTACAAGAGATAGTAACGGTACTTCGTGCACAATATAAAATAATATTTGTGAAACCTGAGAGGTACCTTGGTAGGGAGAAGCTCTAGTATGTTGATTGGATGCAAAGGTCACAGTTACGAAATCTAGTAAACTTGTAGATTTATTCAATCGTGAACAGAACATAAAAAACTGTTTGACTCTTGCTAATCACTTATTCAAATATCTTTTTTTTCAATGCCACTCCTATGTAAACGTTCTTATCATAACTGTTAGATGAGATCCCGTTTGGATTTAACTAACGAAATTGTCTTATTTCAGATTACTCAAAATAAAACTTTAAATTCTCATCTCTCAAAACTTAAAATACATTTACATCATGAATATTCTCCTTCATTTAACAGCAATAGTTCCCCATCCAAAATGACTAATGCTGTTTACAAAAAGAAATTCATCCACTGCTAGAATTAAACACTTTACATTTTATTCTAATTAAGTCAACAATTTATTCTCCTTTTGGTTCTCAGTTTCGAGAAATGGGAAAGCTCTAGCAAATTTATAACTAAACACACTGCTAATTCTATTCCCTCCCAGTTCCTCCATCTAATTCCGGCGACCTACAATCCCGTTCCACGGTCCTTCCTTTCGACTCCCCAAAAGGAACTTAGCAGTACTTGGCATTCCAGGAACGTCATCGCCGGCCTTCAGCACGCCTCTGAGGGTCGCGCGAGCAAGCACAGCGCGCCGGCTGCAGTGTGCGAGGTCAGGAAACCCTCTTGCGGCGCCTTCTTCCAGACTTCGTCCTCATCCGAGACTACTTTCCAGTGCGCCGACTGTCTCGACTACTTCAATGTTCACTCTCAATATTCATACCCGCTCTCCTCGCTGCCTACCACCGTGTCGTACCGCTGCCAAGAAAATAAGAAGAAGAAGAAGAAGAAGAAGAAGAAGAAGAAGAAGAAGAAGAAGAAGAAGAAGAAGAA